TGTCATTGTCTGATGAAAGCCGTCGTCTGCTCAGTTCTGATGTGCAGCCTTGAAACATCAACCCTTTTAAAGCGGCTTGAAAAGATGTTAGACACTTTTCAGCAAAGCTGCTTGCGGAACATTCTGAAATTGTGATGGTTCTATCGAATAAGGAATGAAGGATCTTGGAGACGACCGACTGAGAATTCTTTTTGAAGAAATCAGGAACTGACACCTGTTATGGTTTGACAGAACCATCTGCAGAACGAATGGAGGCTTATCCAAAGCCATTCTCCTCTGGAAAGCAAGAAATAGCCACAGATGCGTCGGAAGCCAGTATCGCACGCAGTAGTTGCTAGAGGCAGGCTTGCTTGCGACGAGAAGCATGAGTTATGCCGTAACAACCAACATCGCCTAAATCATTGTGAGGAACCAAAGCGTCGAACAATTAATTTGGTTATTTGATATTTGACCCTGATACTACAGATGATAGTGACAACAGTCAGTCAATCATTCCAATCAGTTTGGGGCGCTCTTGGGCCTGTGTTGTTCAGACTTTACGTTTGATCATGTGCCAATCTTCATCCATTGTTTCAAAGCTAGGTGACGTTCTCTGGATTTAGATTTCACCGTTATTTCGTTGTGCATAAGTACAGTTGATAGATGCATCCAGTTCTCGGCAGTAGATTGGATGGTACTTATTCTAGGTGGATTTGCCTAAGATGTGGAAAGAGCTGTCAATTTTACTTTGTTTTGGTGGTTGACCATCGTCGGATGCGTCGCAAACAGCCTAGAGAAAATGCGCTCCTTTGTGTATTATGTTCTTCTGTTCGATTTTCTGCCGTTGTTTACAAGGTCGACATATGACTTATATTTATTAGGGGATTTTGGCTTAATTAGGACACTATTCTTAAAGAGTTATGCAACGGCTGCATGTGCTGTACAGTCATCTTTAGGTGCTGGAGCGTTGTCAAGGTCAAAATGGCGACAATACTGCTTAAAGGTTTCGAATCTCAGGTAAGCATGTCCTCAAATGACATCTGGAGAATCACAGAAACACCTATCATTTTGTGTTTACAGCGAGTCGTTCTACACTTGATACTGCGGTTGTAACATGGACTTCCTTGCACCTACATTAGATCGATGAGGATCTGCAGCGAAGACCATTTTTACTGAATCATTGTTTAACATATAACCTCTTGTCACGTGCAGTTTCCTCATACACCTACACGACGCTGGATTTGCTAATAAGCTGCAATACTGGATTGCAGACTATTTCTCAGGGGGCAGCATTTCGTCAATGCCGGAAGCGGCGTTCCTCCAATTTATTCATCATCCTTGGTGTACTCCAGGACTCCTTGCCGTTTCCACTACTATTCAGCTGTTACATGAATCCCATTAAAGCCACAAGTCCTGCGATATGTGTTCGATACGCTGATAATATGGTACTGATGTTTGTAGGCTACAAGGTACAACCATGCAAATTGTGCAGTAGATCGGTCTCTGTGGTTTAAAGGTCAACAGTAGCAAGAACTTTGAAATGGTCTGTGTCATGAATGTCACTAAATCAAGACCTGTTGCTTGAACGAACTGATCCAAAGCATTTACACTCTTAATTAGTTTGATATTCATTTAAGCCCAACTCAACTCTGTAAACCTGCTGATATGACGAATTCCGTGTTTACCAAAGTGTACAGTTTCCGTGTACATCACGAGGTTGTCAAAATTCTCAGTAGCACGTTCGAGTGAGATCGTTTTTCTCCTCATCGTTGGTTGTTTAGCACAGATGATTGTCTGCATTCCTCCAGTGGTGTTTGCTGGTTTAAGACGAGAGAATTTTACTATTCTGTGTAGAGCTGTCGTGCTCCTTAATCGTATCGGTAAAATCGACCTAGAGGAAATCGTTGATTTGGCAGATTCATCTACTGTCTGTGCATCGCGGTAAATTGTTACTATTCGTTACTAAATAATGACATCTATCTCTTGCGCGTGAAGATCAAACGTGAAGTCGAGTCTTCTTGCACTTCAAACTTCAGGCACCCGAAGCTACGCTGGTGATTATCATAGGGTCAGTGCAACCTTTCCTTCTAGGACGTTAAGAAATTCAGACGAGCAGAAATGTACAAAGTTTGCAGTCGGAAGTTACCAGTTTTTATTATAACATTATGCTCTATTTTACAAAGATGCTGCTGCGTGCTGATTGTAAGCCTTTCTGCCCAAGAGAATATACTTTTTTTCTTGCCTTAAATACAGCCTATATTTTTCTTGGCGGTCACATGGCAGACATATAACCATAATTGTTAATGGACAGACTCCCGAGGTACTTCTTATTGACAAAACCACGAGGAAGAAGTCCTTATATTAAACCATGGACTATTTCTTTCGATTATATAGAAGAATTAGCATTGCTCAGCTTTGGAATCCAACCTACCGAGCTTATGCTTTTTGTTAACAGACCAGCATCATTGACGGAGCTTTTTTAGGCAGTTTTCCCTGCCACTTGCAGGGAATATTGAGCTTTGAAAATGAAAGAAACGAATGGTCGTATGACAGCTTCTGCCTTTATGTTATAAATACTATTAAATGAAATCAGTTTTTATCATTTTAGGTGAACGTGATTTGGCTGAAATGTCCATCGACATTCAGCTGGAATGCGAAAAACAAAAGTCGTTTTACGAAGTTGGGGAACTAAAGTCACTGGTCGCACCGGGGGACGTGATCGGCGATGCGTTGAATTACATGCGGTCAGTCAGTAGACTCCTTGGAATATATCGTGTGAGGTAACCATAACGGCCATTGGTCTTAGGGGTCATGGGACGTACGTGAAGGATGACCAGATGATCGCTTCGGTGGCGGGAGTGATTTCGCGAGTGAACAAACTGGTCGTCGTGACGCCACTAAAGACCAGATACAATGGCGAGATCGGCGACATTGTCGTCGGTCGAGTGACCGCCGTACAACCGAAACGTTGGAAGGTCGACACGCATGCGAAGCTCGACTCCGTCCTTCTATTATCTTCAGTGAACCTGCCCGGCGGAGAGCAGGTATATTTAATATCCACGTCTTAGCACGAATTTGTGTATGGTACGCTGCTGTCGTAGTGTAGAGGCGCAAATCCGACGAGGACGAACGCCTGATGCGCACCTACCTTCGAGAAGGTGACCTCGTTTGCGTAAGTGGCATTGCTCGAAGGCAATATCGCCAATGTGCTAATTAACGCTTCTCCGTGCGGGCTGTTCTAGGCAGAAGTACAAAGTATCTTTAACGATGGGTCCCTTTCGCTACATACACGCAATCTCAGATACGGAAAGGTGACGTATTGCATTGCTACTTTGAATATGGAAGTGTGATTTTGAGATGACAGATGACATAACTCGTCGCATCAGTATTTTAAACTTTGAAATTTACGATATATGTCTTTGCCTTTGTCCGCCATCAGTTTTCACGCTTGAAAGAATAAAGTGTGAATGCGTGGGTACTAAAGGCCATATAGGCGTGAGAGGGAACTGGTCATTTAAAAGGCACAAAAGCAAACGGACATTGTTAACGGATCAGTTGCTGCTTAAGCGTTATTGGCCGTTTTTTCATATTTTTTACCTTTGACACCATGTGCTCAGTTTTAGACAGGTGTCAGGCAAGCCATTGCGAATTGCAAACGTAGAGCACACGGAAGGTGTCAGACAACATGACCATTTTGTCTCGTACGTTTTGGCATGACGACGTTGAGACACCGTCTTGTCCCTATAATCTGCAAGTTAGCGTCATAGTAGTTGTTTCCCGTATGAGTGCGTCAGACCGCACTTGTTTAAGTGAATTAGTAATTAATAATATAAATTTTACCAGATCTATAATAAATGTTAATCTGTTAGGCCAGACATCACAGAGCTGTCACATGGAGCCCAATAAGGCCGGCTGAAGAGTAAACTGACATTCCGTTCTAGACGTATAACAAGTCTGGATAACAACAACAAAAAAATTTGCCATGATCAAGTGAAATGGAAGGCACAAACAAATATTGTCCTCAGTCCCATGTATGCAACTTGAGTTAGACTACGGCTGATTACATCGCACAGCTGACGATGACCGACGGATTTCAGTAGTGATGCACTGGTACCTAAAATATTCTAAAAGTTCAATTGGTTTACCTCGTCTTCGATCGAAAGATGAGCTAAAAGAGAGATATGTGAACTTCTGACGATAAATCGAGCGAGAGAGGTGAACAGGGCACCGGAACTTCTTAATAGTGATCCCTGTTAATTACAATAAAGGATCAGTAGATTTTTGGTGTTGTTTTCAGCGAAAGTTTTGCGCTACACTGGATTTGAATTCAGCTCTTCTAAAGTGAAAAGTGGAACTTCCGATCATTGCATCACTGTGTTTCAATTCAATCAAGCAACAGCTATGAGGGTATACGACCTTTTGTTTTGATCAGTGTCGGTAAACTAACGCGTCGACCGTTAGGTAATACTTTTTTATCTGTGTTTTCCATTTATCTGCCATAGTCATGTATCAGCGGTGGCGTAGACAGTACTCATTCAGACCCATTCAGACTTTGCAGAAGAGGTTCGAACCGTAAATTTTACACTGATTAATTTTTATCTTATTAACTAATGATTATTAACTTACCAAATTCCTTGAGGAGTGAATTAATGCAGCCGTGTTGCAGTGCAGGCAGACAATTATTAGGCAGCAAGACTTTGCTTGAAACTTGTGAGAAGCAAAATCAGCATGTTTCTCTGGCTAAAATCAACTAAAGCGCTTGAGACCTAAACGTACGGTCGTCTGTTTCGTGCGTGTTCATTACATCTGCAGTTCGCATTCTTCACCTATTAACTGCCTTAATCATTTGAGGATGTACTGCGTAAAAAAGTGAGAATTAACTTCATCGTTGCTTAGTCCACAGTTAAAAAATACCTTTGTAAAGGTGTCTGTTGAATATACATTTGTATTCGATTAAGAACCAGATTGTTCTGTAACCTGGTACGGTTCTGTGGTCGAATATGAATGAGTTTACCTGTTTAAAAACTATCGGCGATATTCTTAAGAATCTGATTACTCAGCAGCAGTAGAGGATGACAGTGCCTTACGGCATCTGAATATATAAGAAACCTCTCCTCTAGCGTGAAATAAATTTTCCTAACGTTAGTTACATATAAAGGATCGCGAATTGGAGAAAATCTCCTTACCTTTAATCTCAGGCATGAACTTGGACAAATTATTCTGAAGGATGGAAGTTTGAGGTCATTGTAGCTCTATCTAAATGAAATGTGCAGTCGACCG